GGGGGAGAACGGCGCGCCGGGAGGCCGGCGCCGGCGGCGCTTACAGCGATGTCGGCCTTGACGGAGTCCTGGCCAGCGAAGACGCCGACGAAGCCCGCGCCAGCGGCGGAAGCCTTGGCGGCGACGACCGCCTGCTTGACGCCCTCGCGCGTGGCGTCGTGCTCCTCGGAGACGTGGGCCTTGACCGGGGTCGTCACGCACTCGTTGAGCATCTTGCCGAGGGAGTTCGGCGAGAGGGAGGAGCCGCCCGACGCGATCGGGCGGCGGCGACCGGGCAGAAGCCTTCGGGCACCTTGGTGGCCTTCGAGCCCGCCTGAAACCGCAGGCACGCCAGGGGTGCTTGGGGGCACGCCTGGGGTGCTTGGGGGCAGGAGTCGAGAGGGAAGAGAGGGAGGGGGTCGAAGGAGGAGGGGCAGGCCTGGTGGCTTCGGAAGGTCGATTTGAGGAGGGCCTGCATGCCCGAGAGGCTGTCGGCGGTGAGGGGGATGAGGAAGATGGACTGCTTGCCGTCGCTGGCGACGTGCGTCATGATGGAGTCGTACTACGTCGTGCAGACGGGCGCTCGGGTGAGCGTCACAAAGCAAGGCGTGAGTCAGCGAGAAGCCTCCCCTGGTAACTGATCTTACCGCCGCTGCACCAGCGACGCAAAGATGGGCGCGTCCGCCTCCTCGACGGCGGCGGCGAGAGTCGCGCTCGCGCTCGCGCACATGCAGACGGTGCGAGCGTCGCCGAGCCCGAGGATGTGGCCGATGACGGCGGCGGGCAGGCTTGAGAAGGGGTCCTCGAATCCAGCAGACATATCAGGAAAGGTGCAAGTCGGCGTCCGTGTCAAGAAAACAATCAGCTAATGCCGACCGATCTGTCTCTTTCCTTTTCGTCACCATCGCATTTCCCGACACTCCTCTGCCCCTCCTTCCCCGCCCTTGCCTCCGCCACCGCCCTTGCCGCCGCCTTCTCCGCCGCCCCCCCCCCCCCCCACACCGCCGCCACTGGCCATCGACTCCACCATCGCCACCGCTCCTCCAGCGAGCCCACCACCCTCGCCACCGCTACCGCTGCCCTCGCCACCGACGTCCTCGCCACCGCCGTCGCCGACCCACCCTAGTCCTGAAAAAGAATTCCGCGGGCGCAGTAACCCTGTGTTAGAGCCATAGACTGCATGCAGGATGCAGACTCTCGCGGGCTCTTTCCGCAGCAGCTTGTGAGGGGACACAAACGCACTTACAAGTCGTTTCGAGGTCCTCGATACAGCAACGTACGACCCGACGTACAACGTAGCTCCTCTCTCTCCCTACACGTATAGTGCACACATGCTGGGTCGCGAAAGTACTGTGTGGGAGGTGACAACGCAGGCAGACAAGCAGACAAGCAGCAGACAGCGCTGTGTGCCTGCTTGCTCTCGCTTCTGGGCGAGCATCATGAATAGTCAACAAAGCTCCAGCCGGAGGGTACCGATGAGGAATGGGCGGGGCCTTTGAGTACAGCATCTTCTCGGCGAGCATCATGAGTAGTCAACAAAGCTCAAGCCCGGGGAGCGCATGGCGAGGTAGTCAACTGGGGCCCTTCGAGACTCCCTTTGAGCAGCGCTTGAGATCAGGCCAGACTGGTTGTCGAATACCGCCCCAGCTGCGCCATTAGCGTGTCCACCTGCTGCGCCAGCGTGCCAGTGCCCGTGATGCCCATGGCCTCGTTGCACGCCGCCACGGTCGTGGCAAGGGGCGACGAACCGTCAACCTTGAGCTGCTCGGCGATGATGTCCACCTTTTGTGCCATCGTGAGTGTTTCGACGTCCGCGTTGCTGATGGGCACACCTTGCGCCACCTTGGCAACCACCGAGTTCGGTGGCTGATCAGCGCGCTTCTTCTTGTAGCAAACGTAGCCAACGCCGAGGAGGCCCGCAATGACGGCCACCCCTACCACGGCCGCTGCAATAGCGACCACAGGAGAGCCGCCGCTTTGAGTAGACGAGCTCTCCTTCTCGACCTCGACCGCAACGGTAGTGTCGACGGATGCCCCCACCACAGCAAGGATAGGCCCCATCTGAGCATCGAAGGCATCCAGGCCATTAGCCCCAGAGTACTGTTCGAGGCTGCTCTGGGCCGAGCTGGCTTCCGACTCCGTGACCACCGGGAACTTGGCAACGATGATGACGCTTCCGGCGGTGATATCGAGGGTCGAACCGAGAGGCACGGAGGCAAAGCCGGCCAGCTGGGCAAGCTTCTCGAGGATGGCCCCCTTGGTGGCGTCGTCAAAGTCGCTCACGTCGCCGCTCGCGGTGAAGGAGGCGACGACCTGGAACGAGTTCGGCTCCCCTGATGGCGAGGTCGACGCCGACGGTGGCGGCGATGGCGAAGCCGACGGCGGTGGCGATGGCGAAGCCGACGGCGGCGGCGACGGTGGCGACGGCGGCATCGGCGGCGACGATGGGGAAGGCGGCGAGGGAGGGGGGGCAATTGGCGGTGTTGGTGGTGACGGCGACGGCGGTGGCGACGGCGGTGGTGGTGATGGCGACGGCGGGGACGGCGGCGGCGGCGACGGCGACGGCGGTGGTGACGAAGGGGGTGGCGATGGCGACGGCGGGGATGGCGGTGGCGGCCGTGGGGGTGGAGACGGCGGCGGCGGGGACGGTGGTAGCGATGGAGGGGGTGGTGATGGCGACGGCAACCGTGGGGGAGGTGGTGATGGGGGCGTGGAAGGCGGCATTGCCTCGCATTGTCCATTCGCATACGTGCTCCACGATGTTGCCATGCCACCCAGTGCCTCATCTTCATTCACCGTGTTTTGGCCTCGGTACTCTAATTTGAACGATAGCTGCACCTGCGAGATCTTTGCAAAGTCTGCTGCCGTCCACTGTCTTGTAGTCTGAACTCGCCACGTGCCGTACGGCGAGTAAAAGATGTACTTGTCGTCTCTGAGCTCGTCACGGTCTTCGACCTCGCACGGCACTTTAGGAGAACCGATTGCCCATCGCATCGCTCCAAACGATTTGGGTTCGTGTGTAAACGTGACCTCGTCGCCGGCGCTGTTCGTGAAGATGGACTCCGGCCCCTTGGTGAGCTCCGCGCTCACGAAGCCATCCGGCGCGTCGGTGGGGAACGGTAGCAGGTACACCCGCAAATCTTCAATCTTTGAGCCCCAGAAGAAGCCAGGTGGCGCTGGCGGCGGCTTGGGTACCACGAAAGTAGCCGACCCGGTGTTGTGCAGGGACGCAAACTCGGTCGGGTGAGAGGCCGCAGTGAAGGTGAAGGTACGCGACGTCGAATGCTTTGGCACCATGCCGTGATCGAGCAGCGTAGAGATCTCGTCGCCTTTTAGTTTCTGAAGGGCTTTGCTTACATCTGATGCGGGCGAATTGAGACCAAGGGACATGAACTCGCATGCAGCGTCATCCCCGGGCTGGCTGCAGAACTGAGGCTCGAGGCGGTAGTACCGATATTGCGTGAGTAGTCGTTGCGCCTTCGCCATAAACTGCACCATGGCACGCTGCCTCTGTGCCTCGAGAGTCGCCACTGCAAGCTGGGCATACGCCATGCCATTGTCTGCGCTCTCGTCGCAGGAGTCAGCGTCAAGACACGGTGTCTCGCGAATGATCGCCCGAGCCTTGCTGAGCTGATCTCTGTCAACCAGCTGGTTCACCCGGTCGCTCGCTAGCTTCATCGTTCCGTCGGCAACGATGCGTGCGCCTGCCCATTGACTGTCGGTAATGTCAGGCAAGCGATTGCTTAACGCGGCCTGCAGCTCCTGCAATCGAGTGGAATTGGGAACGGTTGGCACGGCTTCGCCCACAGATGCCTCGCCGTTATCCTTGATGTCACTTTCCGTCGTATTGAGCAAGAGGGTCCAGTCGCTCAGACTCTCCAAGTCCACGAGGGCGTCCTGAAGACCTGTGGAACTAGGCTCGTTCAGGCGCCGCCCAAAGAAACCCCCGATCCAGGTGAGCACCTTGCCGGCAGCCGCGGTCACCGTCTCAACCACCTTCTTCGCAACCTTGACGACCGCTTTTGCTCCGATCATGACTTCTTCCCACATATCGGCGAGCAGTCCAAGGCATGTCTGCGAGGGGCGCACAGACATTGTGAGTACAGTGTGTGAGTACATGCCTATATAGTGCGTCTATTGGTCACCGAGATCGAATCCCCCTGCACGCGAGTCAGCGCCGCGGGTCCCGGATTGCCTCCACCACCCACAGCCTGGTTGTTGATTGGCCTCGTTCTTGGCGCATTGAGGAAGCTGTCGGGGTCGGCGTCACACCACTCAAGTTCGCTCGTGCTGCTGCCAAATTCATAGAGTGTCGACCACTCGGCCAGCACAAAGTTGGGGTCGCCCAAGAATTTTGGCATGAACTCCTGAAGTGACTTTTGCAGCCTCTCGCAGCCAGCCTCCAGATCTGTACACGGATCGTTCTCGCTACCTGTGATTGCGCGCCACGCACACGCAACCTCGGGCCTTTCGAGTATCACGCTCAACTTGTCGCATACGAGGCCGACGGCGATCGAACACGCCTCGCCGGCGAGCTTAGCAGGGTTGAGCAGATTGGGAAGGGAGAGCCCACCGCCAACAACCAATCCGAGATCGGCGGTCAGCTCTCCGCTGATGCATGCTGAGTCCTCGTCTCTGGAGATCGCCGCTTCGGCGAGCAGCCGAGCTCTGAGCATGGCCTCAAGCTCGAGCTTCACGCCGAGAATCTCGAATGTGAGCACCGGGCCCAACTTGACAGTCACGTTCGCGGCAACCCCACCTTCCAGCTCGAGCTTCTTGGTCACCTCAGGCTCGCCGTCTGCCCAAACAAGGTCAACTGTAGTCCCCTCGGTCGACGAGTGCTGGACAAAAGCTTCTTCGATGCCAAAGAACTGGTCGAAGCTGAACTCCGCGTTGAACGCCTGAGACGTTTCGACGTCGATTGCAATCGTTGCCGTCGCCTGAAGCTTCACGAGTACTGGGATGGGCATTGGTCCCGCCATGAGCACCTTTTGCAGTAAGATGTACGGATCGCAGGCCCCCTCCTTCCCCATATCTTCGACTGGGCACACGTTCCTCCCATCGTTGAGAACGAGCGTCTTCTCGACGTGTGCCCGGGTCGCCGAGCTGGACTTCAAGGTCGCGCTGAGGCCGAGAGCGATGCCCGCCTCGCTCAGCTCGCCACGATACACCCCATGCGTCACATCCGCGGTGATAGCCACTCCAAACTTTGGCGTGACGTGGCCCTCAAGCTCGAGCAGGACTCCTGAGCTGACAGCAATGCCAAGCTCCGATAGTGCAACGTCGCTGTCAGTGGAGGCCTCGGCGTCGTACTTGAGAGCGACATTGATGCCAAAGCGACGTTCCACGGCGAGGCATGAACCCCCTCCGATGCGGATGACGCACGGTGTGCTGGGATCGATACATTCTGGCAGCCCTTCAAAACACGACTTGGGCTCGCATTCGTAGGCGTCTTTGTCAGCCTCCTCGTCGGCCAGGTCATTCCGCAGAGCGCCGCAGCCTTCCGGCAAGTCATACGCTTCGCGAAGGCACTCGAAGTAATCCTCGACGACGTTCCCCAGCCACTCGAACGCGGCAGGAACACAGCTGTCAATCACCTTGCCGGCGAGGCTCGCTCCCGCCTGAAGCGACCCGAAGAGCCCCGCGCTGGCGCTCACCTCCTGCGTGGCCTGCTGCTCGACGGCGAGGCCATTTGTCCGAATCCAGTCGTCGATGATTGATTGCGTGCTCTCCAGGAACACGCGCATCGGTGGGTTGCAGGTCTGATCTCCAGTATCGTCTGAGCACAAGTGTCTCCAGCGCTCGTAAACATCGAACGACTTCGACGTTTCCGCACACACAGAAGCCGCAGCGCACGAGCGCACGGAGGCGAGGAAGACCTCGGAGCTCGTCGCCCAGTGCACTAGCCCCAAATCGGCGAGAAGGCCGACAAGCTCGTTGAGGCTAATTCGATCGTCGCGGTTGATATCAAAGCCGGGGCCGTCCGCCTCGAACCTTTTCTCGATGTCGTCGAGTCGCGCCTCTACGCTCGCAAAACGTGCGAGCACGGTCGCGTTCAACGTGGTGATGCGGGCGTCGGTTTCATCTCGCAAGTCCTGGACCTCTTGCAGCAGCGTAGAATTGAGGTACGTGAGACGATCGGCGAGGTACTCGACGGCGCTGATCGTGCTCACGTTCAGCGTGCTCACGCGCGCATCGAGGCCGTCCATCCGTACGTTGGCCAGGTCCACGCGCTGCCCGAGGGCTGCCGTCGTGTCGACTAGCTCTTCCTTCAGGTAAAGCATAAAGCCGCGGTCCTGCAGCTGCTCAGCATGCAGTTCGAGGATAGATGTTTCGGCCTCGGTAATGCGATCGGCATTTTTCTGAATCTCGGCGTCCAGCTTCTGGATCTCGGCCGACACGTCATCCCGCAGCTCCTGCAGACCCTGTCGGAAATCGTCGCCCAGGTCGGCATCTGCAATCTTGCCGATCAAGGCATCTTGCTTGGACTCATAAGAGCTGACCAGGCCCTGGTCTACGTCGAGCGCGCTCTGGTATATCCCGTAGCTGAGAGTGGCGACGGTGTCTGGGCTCAGGCCGAAGAGGCGGTGGCCACGCTGCAGGGCCTCGTAACCGGCACACGCGCTGGCAGAGATGTCTGCCTGGACGTCGCTGCCGCTCCCGTGCGTCGAGATGAAGTCGCATGCGGCAGACATGTCCCCAATAGCGGTATCGCTGTTCTTGAGCACGGCCATCCGAGCGCTATTGTCGAGCCGTTGCAGACGAAACGTGCACACGTCGACGGCGTCGAAGGCGTTCGGCGAGTCGCACTGTGGCACGTTGCACTCGGGGTAGCAGTTGCAACCGATCGGTCCGACGACTGATGTGACGTCGTCTGCCCCACACTCGAACTGCATCGCGTAGGTGCACTCTGGGGTGCACGCGGGCGGCGCAGGCGGCGGCGACATCGGAGGTGGCGGGGGTAGCGGCGGCAGCGAAGGCGGAGGTGGCGAGGGGGAAGCTGCTGGCAGGCAGTTGCCGCCCTCGTCGTACACGCGCGCGCCACAGTCGGTGCAGTCGGTGCCGCAGACGCATCGTTGTGGTCTGTTCGCCAGTCCCGTACCAGATGCTTCGCCGTCCTCGCAGAATTCGTTCTTGCCCGCGGAGGCGCCACCGTCGTAGGTGCAAGTGTCGTCACAGATTGCGACTGCCGCTGGCGGCGTACGAGGAGGCGGCGAGGGTGGCGGCGCCGAGGGCGGCGCCGAGGGTGGAGGCGGTGAGGGCGGGGGCGACGGGGGCGGCGGCGATGGCGGCGGGTTCGTTGGTGGCGGCGGGCTGGGGCTGACTGGGTCGGCCAAGATTCTGAACCCGACGCTGGCCGAGCAGTAGCTCTGCGAGCCAGTCCGGCAGCAGTAGTCGCCACAGTTAGTTACAATATTTCCGTCATCGCAGCTTCTGATTCGTGTGTAGTAACTGCTTTTGCACTTGTCACCAAAGCAGTCCGTGTCGCAATAGCATCCTTGATAATCCTCCGCGTCACTGCATGCGAGCATGAGCGTGATGGAGTCGGCGTCTCTTGTGGCTGTCAGCGAGTCCAAGTACAACGGATTGTTGTTGTCAAGACCACACTCAAACGAGTGTTCACCACTGGTTCCGGGAGTATTGACGGAGTTGGTGCAAAGTATGTAGTTGGCGTTTTCGTTGCCAACACGGTAGAGCAGCTGGACTTCGTTATCTCTTGGGTTCCGCGAAAAGTAGTCCACAATCAGCCTTTGGTTCGTCATTGGCACGCCTCGGCTCCGGTTCAAATCCGAGCAGCTCTTGATGTCAACAGAAGAGCCTTGATATAGTGCGTAGCTGACACCAGCCTCGCACAGCACGCGCGACGGCGGCGGCGGCGGCGGCGGCGGGGATGGCGGCAGGGACGGCGGCGGGGTTGGCGGGGACGGCGGCGGCGGTGGCGGGGATGGGGGCGACGGAGGTGGCGACGGAGGTGCAAGCAGCGAGAACGAGACGTCGTCCAGCGCCATGTCCGACCTGTAGTCCGATCCCGTCAAGCCATTGAAGCGCACTTGCGTCGTTGAGGCGGGCAGCACGACGGCAGCGTCGAGCCAGAGGTTGCCCTGGTCTCCGGTCGCGCTCCAAAGCGTCGACCAGCCGTTCACGTCGTCGCAGGCCTCGACAGAGAGGGTGCCCATGTCTGAGCCTCGCATGTGGTAGAAGAAGGAGAGGGTGGCGTCCTGCTGGAGCGAGAAGCGCGGGCTCTCGAGCCGGTGCAGCTCGTTGGGGCGGTCAGAGGCCTCGGTGTAGATGTAGGAGCCCGAGCCGGTGGTGTGGTCGCTGCTCGGGCCTGTGCCTGACGATGGCGTGCCGTCACTCGTTCGGGTCCAACTGTAGCCGTCCGGTGCAGTATCAATCCAGCCGCACTTGTCCGTTTCGAAGCTGCAGTCGATCAACTCCGTGATGGGAGGTGGCGGAGCCAGAGGCGGCAGCGGCGGGGGTCTTGGCGGCGATTGTGGGTTGGGTGGCGGCGACGGTGACGGCGGCATGAGGGGCGACGGCGGCGCAGCAAAGCATTGGCCGCACTCAGTACACACCTGGGAGGCTGTGAGGCCGCCGATAGAATCGGTGCAGAATCCAGAGTTGCCACCGTCCGAGGCGTACGTGACGCAACCGCCGTAGCCGGCATCCCAGCCAAACCGGTTACCTTGGCATGGCTGCGACGGGTTTGGCGAAGGCTCCGGTGACGGCCCCTCGGCAAGCGCACGACGGCTTGGCGCCGCGGCCGCGAGGTTCTCGGCAAGAATCTGCAGGAGAAGCACCTGCAGCATTCCTGCGAGCCTGCGCAAGGCGAGACAATGGTCAATGGTCAAAGGGCTTACTATCAGCGTAGGGAAGCGACAGCACGGAATAGCTAGACGGCGAATGAGTACTGGCGGCGCACCGCGCAGCTCGTGCCGTGCTCCTCAAGGTCTTGATTCTGTGAGGGCGAGTGGTCGGCGTAAAGGATTTGGCGAGGTTTTGCCAAAACGTCAGAGAGATAGGAATCCAAGGAGGGGGTCGTGTGATGAGATCCTCGCGAGTGGAGTGTTGTGTGGCTCGCGGGTGGCTCGCAGGTGGGGCAGACCAGATGTAGCGAAGAGGGCGCCGCGACCGACGAAGACCAACAGGGCAAGGAGAGCGACGGCGCGACGGCGTGACACCGATGAGGGCGTATCACTTGATGCAGAGGGCGTTTTTCCGATGAGGGCGTATCACTTGATGCAGAGGGCGTTTCCTGCGCGATCTGTTATGGTGGTTCAAAGTTTCAAGGGAGTTTAAAGTACGTTGGGGGGACAGCTTTGGGAGAGATTTTCAATACCAAACAACTCTAACACTCACACGTCATTTGGGGCCTGGAGCCCTGTTCACGCGCGCGCGAGACTTGACGGTCGACTTCAAGAGACAGAGATCTCTTCTCTTCGACTTCAATTGTGGCGTTTTTGGACGATCGTTTTTGGCGCATCGTCCATCGGAACGCGCACTGTCCAATGACCAATTATCAGCAATGCGCGTCCGCGGTCATGCGTACCACGAGCAGTCGCGATACAATCCGTCATGCCCGCCTCGCGCTCCCGCGCCAACGCCGCGCTCCGCACGCCGCCGCCGTCTGCTGGCAGCGCAAGTCCCAAGAACGTCCTCAAGGCGGCTGCGGACGGCCGCGTGGGACCGGTGCGACTATGGCTGAATGACGGCGGGAAGGCCGACAAGCTCTTCAACGCTGAGTTTCAGTACGGCCAGATCCCACGCACCCTGCTGATGCTCGCCGCACATCACGGGCACGCGCAGATGGTCGAGCTCCTCCTGAAGCGTGGCGCAGATATCAACCTGCAAACCGCCGACATCAACCTGCAGAACAGTTGCACTGCGCTCAACACTGCCGCCTTCCGTGGCCACGAGCGAATGGTGGAGATGCTGCTGCAGCACGGTGCGGAGTTGAACCACAGGACTCCGCCGCCTGGTCGGCGCTGGCAGCGGCTGCCAAAGGAGGAAAAGAGCGGGTGGTCGACCTGCTGCTGCGGCGTGGCGCGGAGATCGACCTGCAGAACAAGAACGGTGACACCCCGCTGATTCTCGCCACCTACTTCAACCAACCCGCCGTCGTGCTCCGCCTTCTGCGGGCGGGCGCAGACATGACGTTGCGCGATGTGGACGGCAAGACGGCGCTGCAGTGGGCCAAGGAGAAGGGCCACGCCGAGTGCGTCCAGGCCTTCAGGGCATATCTCGGGGAGGTGGCGGCGCGCCGGAGCAAGGCAGCGTCGGCCGAGGCGGGAGGCGCAGGCGCAGCGGTGGGTGCAAGTGCCGCGGCCTCTGCTTCGAGCGGCGAGGGTGGCTTGGAGGCCAAGCCGAGCAGCGCAGCGGTGCCAGAGGAGGTTGCGCAAGCGGCTCGTCGAGGCGAGGAGGCGGTTGTGCTGGCGTGGCTCGACGGCGGCGGGCGGGTCGACGCGACGTTCGAGTTCGTCTTTTCGAACGGCCCTGTGAGCGGCATCACGCTGCTGATACTCGCAATGACCTGCGGCCACGAGGGACTGGCCGAGGCACTGCTCCAGCGTGGCGCGGATGTCTCGTTGCAGGCCAGCGACGGCGACACCGCGATGATGGCCGCCGCCGCGAATGGCTTCGAGAAGGTGGTCGAGTTGGCGCTGCGGCACGGCGCGGAGATCAACGAGCAAGAGCCTCTCGGCGGCACCGCGCTGATGGGCGCCGCTAGCGGTGGCCACGAGAAAGTGGTCGACGCACTGATCAGGCACGGCGCGGCGATCGACCAGCAGTCCAACACCGGCGACACCGCGCTGATTCTCGCCGCTTTCAACGGCCACCCCGCCGCCCTCCTCTGCTTGCTGCGGGCGGGCGCAGACGTGACGCTGCGCACTACGGGTGGCAAGACCGCGCTGCAGCTTGCCAAGGACAAGGGCCACGCCGGGTGCGTGCGCGCCCTCGCGGAGCATGCGGCGGCCGAGAAGGCGGCGGAGAAGGCGGCGGAGGAGGCGGCGTGGGCCGCAGGAGCGGCGGAGAGGGAGGCGCAGAGGGCGGCGGAGGAGAAGGAGGCGGCGCGGCACGCCGAGGAGCTGCTGGCGGAGGTCGAGGCGGAGAAGCGCGCCAAGGGCAAGAAGGGCAAGAAGAAGAAGAAGGGCGGCGGGGCGGGCGCGGCGGGGCCGTCGCAGGAGCCCGAGGAGAGTGCCGAGGCGCCGTCGGAGGCAGACGCAGCCGAGGCGGCGAAGAAGGCCGAGGAGGCGAGGCTTCTCCTGCTTCTCGAGACGCTCACAGAGGAGAGGATGCGGCTCGGTATCACGCCGGAGAGCCAGGCAGCGGCGTCGGCAGGGGTGGCCGAGGCGGCGCGCTTGGACGCTGCGGCGGACGAGGCGGAGGAGGAGGCGGAGGCGGAGGCCGAGGCCGAGGCGGCGGCCGAGGCGGCGCTGGCTGTGGCCGAGGCTGCACGGGCGGAGTCCAGGGCGGCGCAGGCGGAGGCCAGGGCGGCGCTGGAGGAGGCCAGGGCGGCGATGGAGGAGGTCGTGGCGGCGCTGGAGGAGGCCAAGGCGGCGATGGAGGAGGCCAAGGTGAAGCTGAGCGGGGCCGACTCGGCCGTTGAGGGGGTCGAGACGGCGCGCGCGGCGGCGTTGTCCGCCGCCAAGGAGAGGCGCGCGGCCACACTGCCGCTGCGATGGCCAAGGCGGCCGCTGCCAGGATGGCGGCGGAGGCGGCCGGGCGCTCGTAGGGAGCTGCCGAGGGGAAACGCGTGGCCGCTCTCGGTACGTGTACGGGGAAGCTCGAGGGCTCTCTGGGGGCTGTGACGCCGCAGTGCGGTGTGGGGGGACGAGACCAACCAGCATGCATACCGCTAGTTGCGCCCAGAGAGCTCTGCGTGGTTCCTGACTGATCCCGGGGGGGGGGGGTGTCGGCCATGACTTTAGATGTGCAGGGCGAAGGGGGGGTACCGAGCAGTGTGCGGCCGCTCCAGCGGCAGCGCGGCGCCGCGGGGGGAGTCAGACTCCCCGCGGCCTACAAAGTATGCGCCCCCGTCCACATCCCTTTGCATGGAGAAGAAAGAAACCGAAGGTCGCCGACGGTCCTCGGCGTCCTTGCCTCGGGTGATCTCGAGCTCGTGCGGGGGAAGAGAGCGCGCCTTGATGCGAGCCACCTCCGGCGCCGCCGCCTTGAGGTACTCGTCGCGCGCCAGCAAGTCGCGGTCGCAGGTCTGCGCGCGGCTTTCGGCGCGCGCCAGCTCGGCGACGGCGGCGCGCAGCTCCTCGGAGGCGTCTGCGCGGCGGGAGGCCTCGTGGTACGCGCCCGAGACGGCCTGCTGCGCCTGCGAGTGCGCGTGCTGGCTCGACCGCATCAGCTCGACTGTGCCCTCCCGCACTCCGGGGAGGTCCGCCTCTGCCCGCGCCGTCGGACTGTGCAGCGAGAGGGCAGACGCGCCGACAGCCACCAGCAGAGCGAAGGCGGCCATCGCCATCGGCAGCCACACCATCGTCCCGCCTCTGCCTCCGCCGCCGCCACCACCACTGCCGCCGCCGCCGCCGCCGCCGCCGCCGCCGCCTCGTCGCCGTGCGGCGCGCGGCCTTCTGCCGCCAGGTCCCTCCGTCTGCTGGTTTGGAGACGCTGGCGGGGCCGCACCACTACGTTCACCCGGTCACGGAGGCGGAGGTGGAGGAGGAGGTGGCGGCGGTGGCGGTGGCGGACGCGCTGACTGTCTCGGGTTCTCAGATGCGGGTGAGCTCATCGACGGCGGAGGAGAGCCTTGCGAGTTCGAGAAGCTGCTCTCAAGGGTGTGCCTCAGTGACGATGACGCGCCGCTCACCGCGGACCGGCGAGCGAGCTCCTCAAGCTCCGCGGCGCGGCTCATGGTGGCGGCACGTTGCTCACCACCGCCTCGGTGTTGCTCACCAACCGCGCGATGGCTGGATTCGGGACATGGGCTGGGTGGGTATTAAATTTTGGCGGAGCTATTTTGACAAAGGAGAAAACGTAATTTTAGGAACGTTACTTAGGTAAAATCAAAACGGTGACGCAGGAGCGCGCTCCCTGTGCATGGCGATCGGCGAGCAGCGAGCAGGGTGGCGTGGGGCGGTGGGGCGCTGCCCCTCACTCATGCCCCTCACTCATGCCCGCTCTCGCTGGTGCCGAGCGACGAGCAGGGCTGGGGGGGCGCTGCCCCTCATTCATGCCACCTCCGCCCGGACCTTCTCAAGCTCCGTGTCGCGCGCCGCCACCGTCCCTTTGAGCTCCGCCACCTGGTCGAGCGCGTCGCCGAGCAGCCCCTTGGCCACGCCCAGGTCGCGCAGCTGCTCCACGCCGCCGCTCGCCCGCACCTCGGCGGCGTGGTCGGCCACGTAGCGGCGGCACTGCGCGAGGAGCCGCCCGTCGCCCGTCGTGTGCGCCGCCTCGAGCAGCGGCACGGCGCTCGCCGGCCCGACGCTCTCCTGCAGCGCCTGCGCGCAGAGCAGCTCGAGGCGCGGCACCTGGTACATCTGCGCCAGCTCCCGCAGCAAGAGCGCGCGCCGCGCCTGCTCGCCCTCCCCCTCGCCGAGGTCGAGCTGGTCGGTGCAGAGGTAGTCGATGAAGGCGGTGAAGCTGGCGAGGTCCGTCTTGGGCACCGTGATCTCGGCGGCGTCGCGCTCCTTCATGCCGATGCCAAACATCGTCCGAAAGAACACGGACCGCACGCAGAGGACGTTCTTGCTCACGTGCTCGACGCGCTGCTCCTCCTTTCCGACCAGGAAAGTGACCTGGCCCTGCGGGAGGGAGGCGTCGCCCCGCATCTTCTTCAGGTCTGCCACGAGGGTCGAGGGCGGCACCACAATCGGCGCAAAGGAGGGTGGCGGAGGAGGCGCAGCCACGCAGACCTGGCGGAGAGCCGACTTCTTTGTGCGGACCAGAAGAGTGCTGCCATCGGTGCTGATGGCGATGTCGTATGGATTGTTGAACTGCGCCGCGCCGCCCACGCCATCCGCGCTGCCTTCGGCGCCGCTGCCCGCGACAGTCGTCACCGCGCCAGTCGCCACCTCCACCCGCCGGATCTTGTGGTTCCTGAAGTCCGCCACAAACAGCGCGCTGCCGTCCGGGCTGAGGGCGATGCCGCCTGGGCCGTCGAACTCCGCCGCGCCGCCCACGCCATCCGCGTCGCCTCGTTCGCCGCTGCCCGCGACAGTCGTCACCGCGCCCGTCGCTACCTCGACACGCCGGATCTTCTTGTTCCAGCAGTCCGCCACAAACAGCGCGCTGCCGTCGGGGCTGATGGCGATGCCGGCTGGGCGGTAGAACTCTGCCGCGCCGTCCACGCCGTCCGCGTCGCCTTGTTCGCCGCTGCCCGCGAGCGTAGTCACAGCGCGAGTCGCCACCTCCACGCGCCGGATCTTGTTGAAGTCCGTCACAAACAGCGCGCTACCGTCGGGGCTAATGGTGACGCCGTATGGGGCGTTGAATTGCGCCGCGTCTCCCACGCCATCAACGCTGCCAGCAATGCCACTGCCGGCGAACGTGCTCACCGCGCCCGTCGCCACCTCTGCCCGCTGGATCTTGTGGTTGCCGTGGTCCGCCAAAAACAGCGCGCTACCGTCGGGGCTGAGGACAATCCCGCGTATTTCCTCGCAGGTCGCGGCGGTGCGGATGCGCCCGGCCGCCGACACGTGCAGCACCGAGGCAGGAGTCGTGACGTACCAGCCGCCCGCGCGATCGCTTGCGACGGCACGCAGATGCAGCGATGCCGGAGGGCCGTCCTCGCCCTCGAGCGCCAGCGTGGTGACCTGGCCGACGACGCACGCGCCAAAGATGGGCGCCTCGAAGCCATCCGCGACCGGCACAGCCTTCTCGTCGTCCTCGCCCTCGCCGGCGGTGCGGGCGCGCTTTCGGGAGGTCATGGCGACCAAGGCCGCGTGACCAGCGGTGCAGGCGGGTTCGGTCCTAAGCATGTGCGGTATCATTTTCTTTACGTCTTGCCGGTGCGTTCGCACATCAGTTGCTACATACAGAGACACCCGGAGGTGAAAACGGAACGCCCCCGCCTGAGCCTCTGCTCTCAGCGCAGTGGAAACGTTAGCTCTCGCTCCGACGCTCCCCCATCCGGCACACCACCTCGCGGGAGCGCAGGGCGTGCCCCGCCAACCGAGCCGCCCGCAGTTCGCCCGAGCCACCCGCCCCGACTCCACAAGCACCGAACTCGCTCCTGCTTCCGCCGCCGCCGCCGCCACCGCCGCTCCCACCGCCGCCGCCGCCGCCGCCGCCGCCGCCGCTCCCGCCGCCGCCGCCGCCGCCGCCGCTCCCGCCGCTCCCGCCGCCGCCGCCGCCGCCGCCGCTCCCGCCGCTCCCGCCGCCGCCGCCCGCCCTCGGCCCCTTGCAGAGCCCGAGAGGAGAGAGCGCCCACGCGACCGAGAAGTGGAGCCTGTGCGAGGTTCCCCGAGATTCGCCGAGATTCCCCGAGATTCCCCGAGATTGAGCACGCGACCGAGAGGTGGAGGCTGTGCGTGCCAGGTCGCCGCCGGGTCACAGCCCTCCCGCGCAACCCTCCCGCGCAATTTGCGAGAGGAGAGAGAGAGTGTAGTGTCAACCCCCGTTTGATAGCCGAAATTTCTTTTTTCGCACAACACTGGGCACGGGACTGGCTCGCACTGGCACTAACGGCAGGTAAAATTCGAAGGTGTGCCGGTGATAGTACTAGCACGCGCCAGTTCGCACCTGTGTCGAGCCTGTGTGCTGTGAGAGAGAGTTGTCCTGTTTGAATTCTTTTTTCGAAGCCAAAGCGGGAGGCTGGCCGAGAAGAGAGAGGAGGCGCTCAGCATCCGCAACCCCGCCCCTCTGTATGCCCGGCCGGACGAAGGCAGGCTCGGCCGCATCCCGGCGCGGGCACGCTTCAACGGCGGCTACTGCTGCGCCGCTCGCGCTGCCGAAAAGGATCGAAGTGGCGGCGGAGAACGGCAAGGTCGACGTGGTGCAGACGTGGCTCGCCGGGGCTGGGCGGGCTGACGCGACGTGCGTGCATCTCGGTGTGAGCGGCTGTACGCTCCTGCTGATCGCCGCCGAACACGGCCACAAAGAGATTGTCGAACTGCTGCTGAAGCGCGGCGCGGAGGCGGACGCGCGGGACAGCGCAGGCAGCACCGCGCTGATGATGGCCGCCGCCAACGGCCACGAGCAGGTGGCCGAGATGCTGCTGCGGCACGGCGCAGAGATCAACCTGCAGGACCGCAAGCACGGCGTCACCGCGCTGATGTTCGCCGCGCACTGCTGCCGTCCCGCCATGGTGCTCCGCTTGCTGCGGGCGGGCGCAGACATGAAGCTGCGCGACGTGGACGGTGAGATAGCGCTGCAGATTGCCAAGCAGGAGGGCCACGCCGAGTGCGTCGAGGCCTTCAGGACGTATCTCGGGGAGGTGACGGCAGCTCGGATCAAGGCGCCGTCGGCCGAGGCGGGCGGCGCAGGGGCGGGCGGCGCACCCGCAGGCGAGGCGGAGGCGGGAGCCAGTGCCGCGGCGGCCTCTGCTTCGAGCGGCGAGGGCGCGGGGGCCGCGCCGGGCAGCGAGGCAGGGCCAAAGGAGGTCATGGACGCGGCTGAGGATGGCGATGAGGAGCCGGTGCTGGCGTGGCTCGACGGCGGCGGGTGGGTCGACCGAGTGCACCTTTGTTTGCGGCACTCGTGAGAGCGGCGTGACGCTGCTGATGGTTGCAATGACCAATGGCCACGCGGAGCTGGCCGAGGCGCTTCTGCGGCGCGGCGCGGATGTCTCGATGCAGAGCAGCAAAGGCGGCACTGCGCTGGGTCTCGCCGCTGTGAACGGCCATAAGAAGCTGGTCGAGCTGGCATTGCGGCACGGCGCGGAGATTGACCAGCAAAACAAGCTTGGCAGCACTGCGCTGATGGAGGCCGCCTACAGCGGCCACGAGCGGGTTGTCGACACGCTGATCCGGCACGGCGCGGAGATCGACATGCAGGACAACGACGGCGACACCGCTCTGATGGCCGCCGCTCTCGGGGGTTGCCCCGCCGTCGTGCTTCGCTTGCTGCGGGCGGGCGCAGATATGAAGCTGCGCTCGAGCGGCATGACGGCGCTGCAGATTGCCAAGGAGGAGGGCCACGCCGAGTGCGTGCGCGCCCTCAAGGAGCATGCGGCGGCCGAGAAGGCGGCCGAGAAGGCGGCGAAGGAGGCGGCGTGGGCTGCTGGGGCGGCGGAGAGGGCGGCGGAGAGGGCGGCGGCGGAGAAGGAGGCGGCGCGGCACGCCGACGAGCTGCTGGCGGAGGTCGAGGCGGAGAAGCGCGCCAAGGGCAAGAAGGGCAAGAAGAAGAAGAAGGGCGGCGGGAGCGGCGGCGCTGGGCCGTCGCAGGAGGCTGAGGCGCCGGCAGAGGCGGCGGCAGCCAAGCCCGCGCCGTTGGACAGGGAGGGGCTGCTCCGGCTTCTCGCGGAGCTCCACGAGGACAGGATCCGGTTCGGCATCACGGCGGAGACGTCGGTCGAGGGGCTGGCGGAGGCGCTGGGAGAGGCGGCGGGCGAGGCGAGCGAGGAGGAGGGCGAGGAGGAGACGGCGGAGGCGGCCGAGGAGGAGGGCGAGGAGGAGGGCGAGGAGGAGGGCGAGGAGGCGGCAGCGGAGGCGGCAGCGGAGGCGCGCTGGCAGGCTGAGGCGGAGGCTGCGGCTGTGGCAGCAGCAGAGGAAGAGGAGGCTGCCGCAGCGGAGGAGGAGGCGGCAGTAGCGGCGGCCGAGGCGGCAGTAGCGGCGGCAGAGGCGGCGCTCGCCGCAGCCAAGGCGAGGCGCGCGTCAGGTGCCGCTGCGAGGGCCAGGGCGCGGGAGGCGGCCTAGCCCGCGCGCAAGGACAGCTGGCGCAGTGGCAACCATGGGGAAGGGTCTCTCGTACTCTGGGGCGTGCGTTCTCTTGTGAGCGATCGTGGTTGTGGGCTGGGCCCCGCGCCGCGCGGGCGCGCGTGCAGTCCCTCGAGGTCCCGCCGGGGAGCTGCTCACACAGCCGTACGAGGGGTGGGCGGTGGCGCGGGAAAGTGGCATAGCCACAATGCCACAGAGTGCGAGCATGTCTGTGAGCGGTGATGCAGCCCGCTCGTGTGCACGGCGCGTGCAACGGGTTCTGCCCCAAGCCCACAAACCGGCCTGGAGTAAGAAGTGGGAGGGCTGCGGTATCTCGATAGAGATGACAGATGTGGTGCCCCGGCAGCCCCGGTTCGTATCTTTGTTTTAGGCTAACGCGGCGCGTGAAATTCTCAGCAGTAGACAATAGCATTCGACACACGCACTGGTCAGCTCACACTCTCGAGGCGCCCGCGCACGCAGCCACGGGCGACGGCCCACGGCAGCCCCCTGCGCGCTGCGGTGCGCCCTCAAGTTCTCGCTCGTGTGTGTCTCGATCCAGGCCGGCGGCGGGCCCATGGGCGGGCCGCGGCGCACTGTCAAGGCGGAGAGCTCGGGGCAGAGGAGGGTGCGGGCGGCAAATTCAGTGCAGGCGCCGCAGCCCGTCCAGGAGCACAGAGTCGTCCAGGAATCCGTTTTCCGGGACAGATGGCGGGCCCGGGGCTTAGGGCAGGCACTCGGAGCAGCCGCTGCAACCCCGCCAGGTGCACTTGTCATCCCAGGCCTGCGTCTTGCCCTCGCAGAATGAGTTGCACACCGTTGGGGGCGACGGCGGTGGTGGCGTCGGAGGCGGCGGTGTGGTGGACAGCACCAACGGCGGCTGGGACGAGGGCAGGCACTCGGAGCAGCCGCTGCAACCCCGCCAGGTGCACTTGTCATCCCAGGCCTGCGTCTTGCCCTCGCAGAATGAGTTGCACACCGTTGGGGGCGACGGCGGTGGTGGCGTCGGAGGCGGCGGTGTGGTGGACAGCACCAACGGCGGCTGGGACGAGGGCAGGCACTCGGAGATGCGAAGCGACTTGCAAGCTCACAAGAAGTCGCGAGGCTCACCGAGGACACTGCTTCGGCGGCGTGCACCGATCGGGCGATCCTGACCGTGTGTGCTTGTTATGACCGCCCCCGATGAGCGATGGTGTGGCTCGCGGCGCTGGCAGCCGCGAGCATGTGGCGGAGGGTGCCCCTGCCGCAGGCCAATGACGCCGGGGGTGACCGGAGTTTTCAATCACCCCCCCCCCCCCCCACGCCTTGTGTGAGTGGGAGAAGTTAGACTTTACACTCAGAGCTGAACCAAAATCTCTCTCTCTCTCATATTAATCAACCCTTTTCCTGGCTCACAAGCTAAAGATGTTCACGGGCCCCCACAGGGAGGGCCCTTGCGTAAACCCGGGCAAAGCACTGGCAATCCTTTCGCAGCGCGTTCGGCCCGCAGTCTCGCTCGGCGCGCGCTCCTCTGCGCCCACCTAAATTCCTGAGTCGCTGCACCCCGCCAGACCATCCACCCACCTGGCCGCCACGCGCAGGAGCGGCTACACAAGTCCACACTCGAGTCGCATGGTCCGCCTCGCTTGAACGGCTGCTTCCACAGGAGGTGCAAAAGCCGCCGCGCTCCACTCCCAGCCACAGCCTGGCCACCCCGCGCGGACACAGGGCGCCCCATAGCCCCACTCGACTGCCCGGCCGCTCACACACCGCCTCGGCCGCCCACGCCGACGCACAGACCCACCTGCGCCCGGCGGTGACGCGTGCGACCAATGCGAATGCAGGACCATGGGCGACGCCGGTGAAGGCGGCGCGGACGCCGACGTGGAGATGGAGACGGACGAAGAGAGCGAGGAGGAGGGAGCTTCACCCTCGGGTTTCTTGCCGTCGTCCCTGGGCACTCCAGCCGGCGGCCGTCTGACGAGTCGTTGGTGCCCGCCGGCGGGCCGCTGCGCTTGAATCTCACCGACACCGCTCGGCAGCGGCGCGCAGGGCGCGCCGGTGGCCCATCCCGCCGCCGCCACCGGGTGTGCAGCTGGCTCCCTGACCCAGCTGCGCAGGATTCTCGGCTCAGGCTTGAGTACTCGACGGGGAGGACGCTGGAGCTCTCTCGAGCAGCGCTGTGGTGGGGGTGCACGACACGCATTGAAAGGAGCCGAGAGGAGCAGCAGCTGTGGGGCTTCCACGGCTCCCAAAGGGTGATCCATGACTACTCTGGGCAGGGCTGTGCTTCGGTGGGGCTGTGTTTTAGCATGTGTGAAGTGGGAGTGCGTGCCGGCGACGTCTATGATCTGTAATGTGCGTGTGAGGGCCCGTGTGTGGGTAGTTGTGAGCCGGTATGAGCTTGCAGACCCAAGATAAGTGCGGTTCGGGACGGCTCGGGCTTGCTACCGATAGAACTGAGCCAGGAGAGCGACAGAGAAGGCGAGGTGACGAGCTGAGAGGCTGGAGAGTCCGCGTGTGACCTTGTCGCGATGTGCAAGTGCCAAAAAGCGTTGTTTGCGGCTATTGCTCAAAACTGTGGGAGAGAAGGCCTACATATTATGACTGCGTGCATCCGTTCGGTGCATGAGGGCTGCGGGTCGAGACATATCACGGTCGATGGCGCCGATAATGACCTCCGGAATGCCCTCGCAATCGCATCAGATGGGGTCGACCGGAGACAATCTCGAGCCCTCCCCGTGGCATCACGAGCCAGTGTGAGCTTGCAGACCCAAGATAAGTGCGGTTCGGGACGGCTCGGGCTTGCTACCGACGGGCCTGGGCCAGGAGAGCGGCAGAGAAGGCGATGTGGCGAGCTGAGAGGCTGGAGAGTCCGCGTGTGACCTTGTCGCGATGCAAGTGCCAAAAAGCGTTGTTTGCGGCTATTGCTCAAAACTGTGGGAGAGAAGGCCTACATATTATGACTGCGTGCATCCGTTCGGTGCATGAGGGCTGCGGGGCGAGACATATCACGGTCGATGGCGCCGATAATGACCTCCGGAATGCCCTCGCAATCGCCTCGGATGGGGTCCACCGGAGACAATCTCGAGCCCTCCCCGTGGCATCACGAGCCAGTGTGAGCTTGCAGACCCAAGATAAATGCGGTTCGGGA